GGCAAATTATATTGTTAAAGACCGTTCTTTTTCTTAATAACCAGTTGCAGAAGCTGCCTTCCATCTGCTATACATACAGCCAGCTGCAATGACTATGTATGTGAACAAGACAGCCACAATTTTTCAACACCCTGCTCAGTAAGTACTTGAAGCAAGTGCTGTGAAACACAATCTTCATAGCTACCCTTTGCGCCTAAATTCTGAGTCTTTATGTAGAGGCAACTAAATAGCCTTCTGTTTCGCTAGATGACCCGAGAGCCACGCTTGGCCTTGCCAAGGGCACCTGAGTCCATATGCTTGCTGTGTATTTTTCAGTTCTGATCAGTAGCCCTCTTTTTTTTCTTTTTTTTTTCCCTTCTTCCCCATCTTCTTCAGACCTTTTTTAAGGCTGAGTTGGCCATTCAGCGTAAGACTTCTCTTTTATCATATAGTTCAACAGCAGAATAGAAGAATGTTCTAGTTAATTCTGTACAAGTTACTTTTATTTTCATGGTGGGATCTTCTATGGACAAAAATAAGCATGAGGTTCATTTGCTCCATCTCCAGATCAGAAGTTGTGTGTGTTCCGCCCATGTACTCCATTCTTTCCTTTCTAGAAGATCCAACACTTGGTTTCAAATTGTCCTCTTGTTTGAAAGAGATCATCCTGGCAAGGGTCATAGTGCTGCTGTGTGAATCCACTGGTGATCTTTTTCTTGTGTCACCCTCTGGAGTCCAAGCTCTTTGTCTCTTTGATGCCTTCGAGCTCCTCCCAGGGGAGCGACAGATGCAGGGCTGCTCCTTGACTCACGTCCTTATGCTGCCTGGACCATCAGGCTGCCCAGGGCAGGTTCTTACACTAGTCTGGAACATTGGCTCCAAAAGCTACTTTTTTTAATCTTAATTAAACAAACAAATGAAAAGAATCTGTACATATTTATAGTTTTCTACCTTCTGATGCTTTTTCTTTCTTTTGAGACCGATCGAAGGCTTTTTATAGAGATATTTTGGTACTAAACCTGTGCAGACATTGAATGAGTTTGGTCTGCAGACTGAAGTGCCAATTCAGGGCTATTAGTAATGACTCTTGAACATTATTGTTGTATTTCATAACTCATTAATTTTGGGTTTACATTTACAAACCTGAGCCATGAATCTCCCAATTTACTCTTACGGCAGTCCAGCCTTGTCCTTTTATGTCTTTTTTCTATTACCAGACTTCCTTGCAACCTTTAGCTTGGATGGCAAACCAGTGTCTGACTCTTTCTATAAAATTTTGTAAACAGTGACTTAGTTTTTCTATATGAAGGAGATAGTTCATTTCCCATTCTTCGTCAGCACCTTGTCAGCTTTCTTTTAATCCTGTTGACCGTTTTCCAATGCCTGATTTATTGCGGAGTAAGAACCACAGTCTCTACTTAACCATCACTTTCTCTGATGGAAACGGGGAGTTTTTGTGTAAGCCAGAATTGTACCTCTGACACTACATGGAGTATTTGTGCACCGACATGTATCGATGACAACTGTAGAGAACTGTGAAGAAACCGAGTATTTGCCATTTCTTGGTAGTATCAGCAAGTTTGCAGGCACTATTATATGCATTTCTGTCCTTGCCCTAAATTCTAGGTCACGTGAACGTCCACACAATCTTTAAATGTAATAGATCATTTCCTTTTTAACTTGGAATCTATGTTTTTTTTCTGGGAAATCTCATTGCACTGGAACTTTTAAGTATGACAAATAGAGAAATAAACAAGGAAATCGCCTTTGTTTGAATGAGAGTGCAAAAATTCCCTACAAAAGCACTTTGCAACTCTGCCCTCCGAGGAGGAAAATGGTCAGGCAGTTTCTCGAGAGCCAGAACGTATTAGCAGAAAGATGGATCAGATTGTAGGTACTCTGATGGTCTATGCACAGCGCGGTCAGCAGAGACTACCACCACACCACAGCCTGATACACTCCAAGCACCTTGTGAGCAACATGGGGTGTTCACACACTGGGACCTGTTTTTTTCTCTCTAGTAGGTTCTCTGGTGTTAAAGATGACAGTGACAATGTGTATGCTGTTGTGTAATGGTCTGCAGGCAATGGCGTCAGCCATATGTGTTTGGTATAGTGGGAAGCGCCTTGGGGGGTGGGAGCAGCCACTCCTCGCTGACATCCGAGGCAGCCCAGAGATCAGCAGAGAAGATGGCATCTGACTGCAGTAGAGGGTCCCTCCTCTCTTCATGGTCCCTTAACTCGCACAAGAGAAACATTTCAAGTTGCTGCTGTTAGTGAGGTGGGTACATTCGCAACTGATCGTGAAGTATCTTGGTGTCTGGAGGGAAGTTGAATTTCTAATAGCTTTTGTAATAAGGAACTGCTTTTTATGGATTTACTGTAGATTTTATTGTCTGTGCTAAATAAGAATGACCTGATCTAAAATGGAGGTAGGGTGGGGCAGATTAAGAAAACACAATTTGAAGATTCAAGGTCAAATGGTTTTATTTCTATGAGAAAGTTGATTATTTTTTTTTAACTCTTAAAAAAGTTATGTTTTGGATTTCAAAATTAAATACACTTCAATGGATTCATTTACTTATTTTAAAGTAGTATTTTACTTTTCTGTGTTTTTTATTTTTCAGTTGAAATAAACGCAAGATACCTTATCTTGATTATTTAATGTTTTACTTGGTAATAAATCTACTGATCCTTTATAGCAGACTGTGAATATTGTAAATATCTTGAGATGGAAGGGTTGTGTGGGATCAAAGAAGACATTCTTTGTACAAACACTAAAAGGATATGGGAAAGCTCTGTATGCTTTTTTTTTTTAGAATTTTATTTAAGAGAAAAATTCTGAAATCATTTGACCTTTTCAAGATTTTATATATATCTGACTTCTCCTGTGACTTGATTATTTTAAGCTATATATATATATACGCACACATGTGTGTATATATATATGTGTAAAAGTTAGAAGAACTTGGCAAAAGAGTGTTTGATTGGAAATCGCAACGTGTCAAAGTTTTGCTATCACTACTTCAGGTTTTTCTTTTGGAAATTTGAGTCTGTCTTCATATGCCATGTTTAACTTCTGTGTATTAAAATGTTTTCATTTCTCCTTTTCAGTGTTACCTGTAATATGTTAGTTTATTTTGGATCAGTATTATATTGTAAATATTACGCATTGGTGTATATAAATGATTTTACTAAACTTAAAAGTTACTGGCTGCTTTTGTTTTGGTTTCATGTCTCTAGTACAGAAGGGAGGAAGGACAGAAGTAGCATGGAGGGAACAGCACCCCGCTTCTCCTCCTGCCACCCCCAGACCCGTCCTGCTGTGCTCCTCCGCCCCGCCTGCCTTACCCATGGGAATAAGCACTTTGCTTCATATTCTGCAGGAGTGCGGTGAGGCTTTGAGGTGAAAGAATGACTGGCAGGATAGGCTGGGTAAAGCCCTAGAAAATCGTGTGCTCTGCCTGGCAACATAACTCCCAATTGCCTCTTTAAAACACTGCAGTACATGCCCGGTGCTCCCGGTGAACCCCCGGGGTCTGTAGGATTTCTCTTCTAGCTGTGACTTGGACCAGTTCGGGAAGGGAGGGATGAGTTGTGTGTTCAGTGACATTTCCCGTCAGATATAACAGCTCCTGCGTTCTGCCAGGCGTGTTCTTTGGGGTGGGAGCTAGCAACCAGTTTCTTTAGGATGACTCTTTGCAGGGTGCTGTGCTTCGCTGAAGGGAGCTGAAACGGGAGCCCTGCGGGGGCTTGTGACAGGACTGGCAACTTGGGAGACGCCAGTAGATGAGAAACGAGTCAGTTTTGTGCAGGCTGGCAGTGCGCTTTGCCGGGGAGCTCTGGCTGCTTCTCCTCCTCCTCAGGCCGTCAGCCCTTCTGAACACGGACCAGTGCTGTCAAGTGTGACTCTTGTGCAATTCCTGGCTCTGGAAATATCTTTATTATCCTCAAGCATGGTTTGGCTTGTTGACAGCAACCAGATAGACCCTTGTCACATGAGCATTTCAGAAGAAAAGCAGTAGAAGAAGCCGTGGGACAGTCGTGAGTGTCTGTGTGCCCCGGCCATCCTCTTTGTAAGAGTTAACAGCCATCTGCTTGGTACCTTGGAGGAGTTAATAGTGCTTTGGATAGTGAGTGACCTTCAGAGCACCCATAGCATTGGGGAGGGGAGCGAGAGAACAATTTCCAAGCATCCTGGGAGTATTTAAGGCAGCGAAACCAGCTGCAAGTGCTCTATAGAAGTGGTACAAGAAAAAAAACTCCCCTGCTCATAGAAGGACGTGTAGCCCAAAGAACGCCTCTCCCTTCCCAGCAAGAAAACCCCTCCAACAGTTACAACATTCAGTGATGTGCTGGGCTCCGAGAGAGGACCCCTGCAAGAATATCCATCAACAGACACTGAGGGCTCTCGCTGCTGCAGCTGCAGGTCCCATTAGCAACCAATTTATTGTTTCCCTGGTAATCTTGTGTTGCTTTCCACTTAGGAACGTTTAATCCCCTTTTAAACAAATTGCTGTAGCAGGACTGGCTCGTCATGCTCTCAGCAAACGGGGTCATTCCCAAGTAGGGTGCAGCAGGACAGGGTGTATTTAATGTGCTGCTTGCTCCTGCCGGTGCCCAGGGTAAGGTCCCTTCCTCCCCATGGAGTGTTTGCCTTGGAAGTAGAGCTGGAGAAATGGGTCACCCCTCAGGCCCTTCTGTTCCAGCCCCAAGAGGAGCTCTTCCCTGGTTTCCCACCCCAGGGTCTTTTGCTCCGTTGCAGTTGGGCAGCAGCAGGCTGGCTGGCTCCCGACGTCTCCTACCTCCCCGATGGAGAGGTACCTGAGGAAGAGCCAAGAAAAGGCCCGTTGGAGACAGTAAGCGGATGGCTTGAACCTGGCTGCAGGCTGAGCGGTGAGAAAAAGACCCTGAGTGTCCTGGTGGTGAGAAGGGATCTTTGCTGCTGAGTTAAAGGCTCATCGTCCAGGTTTTCCTCTCTTGCCTCCAGTCTGGGAGGCAGTGACCACGGCTCCAAGCCGGATGCAGCCAAGGTGCATCCCCATGGGCAGAGGGCTTCTCCTCCTCGGACTTCTCTGCGTCCTACTCTGGGGGCTTGGGCTGCCCGGCACAGACGGCAGCCCCCAGCCCTCTCAGGGCTACACAGCCTACGAGATAGTCATTCCAAGGAAACTTGACTTCAAGGCAGGGAAAGCCAGCCAGGACAAAGTGTCCTATATCATCAGCATTCAGGGCGTATATTACACAATTCACCTCAGGCAGAAAGACTTTGTAATAGAAAACTTGCCCGTATTCATTCGTGACTCCCAAGGGGAAATCACGGCCGAACAGCCCCACGTGTCAGCAGATTGCTACTACCATGGCTACGTGGGAGGCATCCTGGATTCTGCGGTCACCCTGACGATCTGCTCTGGGCTCAGAGGACTGCTGCAGATTGGAAATTCAAGCTAAATTAGTCCCTGGTCTTACCCCTCTTTTTTTTTTTTTCAAGAGGAGCTCATCTTTCTTAATACAGGGTGGTCTTCAGAAGACAAACCAGCTAGTGTCGATGGCTGAAGAACAAATCAGCACAGCCTTGGAAAGGAACGTGTGGTCAGAGCCTGCCTTTTGGGGGACAAGCCAGGTAATTGATCATTAGGTGTGCTAGAAGACTGATGGTAAAACAAGGACTGCTTTTGTGAACTGAATTATGGTTTCTTTCTTCGCCTACTCCTACCTTCATTCCCATCACGAAGTATATGCAAAGATATATTTTTAGTACAAATATTGCTAGTATTTTTACTTGAAGTATACTATAGGGACATACTTCTAGTATGTGGCTTCAATTCAAACTACTGTGTTTTAAGAGTATAAAATATTCATTGTGCCTATTACAAAAAGAAAAAGAAAAAAACCCCAGGGAGGTGATGGAGTCATCGTCCCTGGAGGTGTTCAAAAAATGTTTAGATGTGGTGCTTCAAGACATGGTTTAGTAGGCATGGTGGCATCAGGTATACAGTTGGACTTGATGATCTTTGAGGTCTCTTCCAACCATAATGATTCGATGATTCTAAGCATTGAGCCCCTGGCAGCTTCCACCAAGGCTGAGCATCTTCTGTTGCAGAGGGAGGAGGCGGTTCCCGGAACCGTGACGTACAAAATGTCCAGTGAAGGTAGAAAATTTCCAGGTCCTGGTACAGCAACGGGGCAGTTCTAGCCCCAGAGGCACATAGGGTATTTAGAGCTCCTTGTTGTGGTGGACAAGGAAGGTTTTGATGCCTCTGGCAGAAGTATAACTAATGTGACGCTGGAAGTTGTTGAAATAATCAATATCTGGTGGACGCGCTGTTTTATCCTTTCTGCCTTTGTGTTTTGATGACTGCACTAGAGGTTTGGGTGGAAAAGAACCCTATCAGCGTTACCAACAACATAACCAATGTCCTTCATAATTTTAATCTTTGGTGGAAGCAGCAAAGCCTTACGTACGCCATGCATGACGTGGGGTGTCTATTTACCTCGATGGACTTTGATCACCATACGAGAGCATTGCACATGGGTGCGAAATCCAACTTTGCCAGTGCGTGTGATGATAGAAAACGAGCCTCTGCTGTCGTATCATTTGCGAAACAGCCTTATACGGACACTGCTGTCCATGTCGCTCGTGCATTAGGGTATGTCCTTGGCATGGAGCAAGATGACAGAAACTGCCGGTGTGGAAACACCTCTAAATGCATCATGAGCGCACACGGGACAGGGAACTATCAATTCAGCAACTGCAGCAAAAAGAGCTATTTTGATTTTATAGCATCAGGGCAAGGATTCTGCCTTAGTAACGCCCCAGAATCGGGAATGACATTTGCACCACAGCGCTGCGGGAATGGTGTCCTGGAGGCTGGGGAGGAGTGCGACTGTGGCTCAGAAGCACAGTGTAAATTGGACCTCTGTTGTGACAATGCCTGTCAAAAAAAAAAAAAAAAAAAAAAGAGAGCCATTTGCACTTCTGGAGGCTGCTGTAAGAATTGCAAACCTCTTCCAGAAGGAGAAGTGTGTAGGGAGAGTGCTGGTCTGTGTGACTTGCCCGAGTATTGCAATGGGACATCCGAGCATTGCCCAGCAGATGTGGCCAAGCAAGACAGGACTTTGTGCGCTGAGGATGAGTACTGTGATTCGGGCAAATGCCAGTCTCACACGTTACAGTGTATGAGTATCTTCGGCAAGGAAGCAAAGCCTGCCCCACTACCATGTTTCCAGGAGGTGAACACGAAAGGAGATCGTTTTGGCAATTGCTGGGGAGATGGGGCAGATATCAGCTTTCAGAAATGTAAGCTGGAAAACGTCCTGTGTGGGAGGGTGCAGTGCACAAATGTTAGACGTCTACCTCAGCTGGAAGATCATACAACCATCATTCAGACCCCGGTGGGTGATACCTGGTGTTGGGGCACAGACTACCACTTAGGCATGGATGTTCTGGATGCTGGAGTCATTAAGGATGGCATGCAGTGTGGTGAGAAGAAGTTCTGCATTAATCGGACGTGTGTCCCTGAGGAAAAGTACTTGACATCCCGCTGTTCCGCAGAGGAAAAGGCGTCTGCAACACTAGAGCCACCTGCCACTGTGCCAACGGCTGGGCACCTCCCTGCTGCCAGTTTGTTGGCTTCGGAGGAAGCGTTGACAGTGGGCCTACAGCGGTCACTAAGAAGGGGCTTTTTTGGTTCAACATCAGGATTACTGTAATAACTGCTGCTGTTCTGGCGCTCACAGCACTTGTCGTTGTGCACGTGAGAAAGCTCAGAGTAACTCAAGCATTGAACAACAGACTCGTCAGGTGCTTTGGGGCTAGAGAACGGGCTCCTGAGAAGGATGCGAAGGACCAGGTGGAAGAAGATGGCTCAAAACCAGCTGAGAGCCAAAACTCCGCGGTATAGGACTTCACATGGCAGCAGTGGAAACCTGGACTCAGTTGGTCACTAGATTCAGGCTCTGGCTGTGGTGGACTCATTTAAAATTGATCTAGATGCAAGTGTAGAGTTAGGGGACTTTTAGTTTTTGTTCTGTAGAATAGCAAAATGAAATTGTTTCGCTTGACCTCATTCCACAAGAGAAAAAACAAAAAGTCATCGACAAAATGACAGGGATGCTCGGGTTAATTTAAAAATGTGCCTGCTGGTTTACACTGGCAAACACAGGCTGAGCAAGGAGGAACCACACCACTGGATAGGAGTCTTGTCTCCACACCCTATAGCCACCTCCTCCGGAGCCGGGGTCCCAGGTGGAGTGCCCATCCTGGGCACACCCGAGCATCTCCTCTGTGGCACCACAGCCCAGGAACAAACACGAGCTGCTGAAAACACCAGGCAGTGTTAAGTGGGAGACAGGAGGGGCTCTGAGGCTTGATTACAGGAGCAGAAGGTGTGGAATATATCTGAAAGAAAATAAAGAAAGAAGAGGGGAAAACTCTTCATTACCGCTCACGTCAGTGGCTTTTGTGAAAAGTGCAAAGCTGGCAGGGTGATTTGGACAGGAGCTTGCAGGAAGGCTTGGAGCAGGTAAAGAAACGGTCAGCAGTATCCAATTCCTCCAGGATGAGCTGACAAAAAAGCCAGGCTGCTGCGGAGGTGCCCGTGCAAGCTCGGGAGCAGCACTGAAGTGGAACAGGGATGGTGGTATTAAAAAAAGAAAAAATAATCATTTCAGCACTTGCCAAAGCAGCAGATGAATGCTGGGGAGCAGGAGCGCTTTGTGGTAGAAGAGGGAATTTACCCCGCTGGAATGGGCTATTCCTCACCTCCGGGCAGACCTGGTTAATGATAAATTCAGAGCTGCAGACTTTGCTGCCTGCCGGTGCTCATTAATATTTTTACTGATAGGGCGCTGTGATTAAGAAAAATCTCTGGTGCCTACTGGATTACGCACTGGCAAAGCAGCAGAGGTGGTGGCCAAGGGGCACTAACATCTGTAAAGTTAATTTGCTGTGAGGAGCGTTATTGTGGTTAATTCTTGAATTCATGATCCACAGGCAATCTCCCCCTTGGGCAGGAGGAGGGGGTGGTGAAGACGCATGGCTCCCCACATCTCACTGAGCAGCAGGGGAGCAGCTCTGAAGTTCAACTGCAGCTCCCTGGCTGTGATGGCCACCCCGCGGTGCCGCGGTGAGGGAAGCCCAGCAGGGATGGGTGCTCTTCAGCCCTGTCACCTCACAGGAGCACCTACAGCCCCCATGCCATGGCCTCGTTCCACCCTGGCCTCGTGTCACGGGCAGCTGGGAGAGGTCGCAGCACTTCCAGAACTTTCTCACGGGGCACTGAGGGGAATGGCAGTCCCTCAGGGCAGCCGGGTGGCACACACCTTCATCGGGTCCCGTGCCAGCCATGAGGGGACAGCTCTGGCATGGCCACTGCCTGAAGCACCTCAAGGGAGAGGGGTCAAGATGTCCATGCGAGGTTAGCAGGACCCTCCCTGAGGTGTCTTAACACCATTTGGAAGGTGTTGGTGATGAGATGGCTCCAAGCACATCATGGCAGGCGGGGGGCAGCCCTGTTCTGGGGGTCTGGGCAGTGTTGGTGGCATCTCTCCTACCTGATGTGGGCAGCCATCGTACCACTGGGCTACACTGTCCGTGAGATAGTCTGGCCAAGGAAACTGGGTCCCAGGGTGGGAAAAGCCACAGGGGGGAGACATGTCCTATGTCCTCAGGGTGGAGGGGGAGAACCGCATCGTCCGCCTCACACAGAAAAGAGGATTTCTGGTGGAAAAACCTGCCGGTCATCACATAGAGCCCCAGGGGGACAAGGGTGGTGGAACAGCCCCGTGTCCCCAAGGAGTGCTACTACCTGGGCTATGTGGAGGGCAGCCCTGGCTCCCTCGCCACGCTGAGCGCCCGCTCGGGTCTGAGGGGGCAGCTGGAAATCAGGAGCCTGAGCTACGGCATTGAACGTGTGCCAGAGTCCCTCACCTTCCAGCACCTTCTCTATGGGCGAGAGAAGACCCAGAAAAAGCCCTTGATGTGCGGATTGATGGATGAGGTGTTCAAAAACCAACTGGGTGGAACGGGAGCTAAAACAGCCCTAAGCAAGCATGATGTGTCTCAGAGACTGAAGCACAGCAAGTACATTGAGATATTTGTTGTGGTGGACCGCTATCCTGTTTTCCTTCCAAGGGAGCAATGAGACCTCCGTGATGGTTCTGGTTACAGATACGATCAATTTACCTGAAACATCCTACCATCCTCTGAACATTCGCATCTGCCTGATCGAGCTGGAGCGCTGGATGCACAGCAACTTCATCAGGTACAACCAGGATATAGAAGAAGTTCTTAAAAATTTTAACAAATGGGGAAATAGAGATCTTTCTCAGAGGATGGAATACAACATTGCACATTTATTTGCTTACATGGACTTTGGACTAATCGTTGGGCTGGCCTATGTAGGTAGCAGCTGCCACCCTGGTTATGAGTTGGGTGTTGTCTCACATATACGGAGAGATTTCATAACCTTTTCAATTATTTTTTACTCATGAGCTGGGTCACAACCTGGGGATGCAGCACGATAAAAAGGAGTGTGTGTGTCGAGGACTCACCAAGTGCTACATGATGGTACACTCGCTCGACGGTGCCAAGGCTTTCAGCAACTACCCAGACCCGATCGGCAGAGGGGCTGGCGACTGCTTGCACAACATCCCAGAGCCCCACCGGCTCCTCCATTTTCAATACTGTGGCAACAAGGTGATGGATGAGGGAGAGCAGTGTGACTGTGGGGGGGGTCGCAGGACCACCGAGGCAATCCCTGCTGTCACCAAAACTGCAGGCTGAAGCCAGGGACCATCTGCTCCGTTGGGCAATGCTGTCAGAAATGCCACTTTTGTGCCGCAGGACACAAGTGCAGGTGGGACTTGCCTGAATATTGCAATGGGACTTCCCAGTGGTGAGGGAGGATTTGCACGTGCACAGCGAGATGCCATGCAGCGACGATGGCTACTGCTACCGTGGGAAATGTGTGACCTATGACAACCTGTGCAAAAAAAAAATCTTTGGGAAGGAAGCTCGGGGTGTGCCAGAACGTTGCTTCGAAAAGCAGAATGTGAAAGGGGATCGATTTGGCAACCGTGGTGGCAATGGGACGAAAGTTGCTTTTGTGGGATGTAAACCCCAAAACGCTCTGTGTGGAAGGCTGCAGTGTGTCAATGTGAAGAGGATTCCCTTTCTGGAGGGGTCTGGAACCATCGTTCAGATACCAGGGCCCGAGGACTGGTGCTGGGGTACAGCCTACCATGCCAGCATCGATACACCCGATATCAGAGGAGGGCTTGATGGCACCAGACGTGGGCCCCAAAAGATCTGTATTAACAAGACATGCACAGATGCCACGGTCAGGACGAAGTGCGATGGGAAGGTTTTGTGCAGCGGGAAAGGAGTTTGCAACAACCTCAAACACTGCCACTGCGAAGCTGGCTGGGCTCCTCCGAACGGCCAGTTCTACAGGCACGGACAGCGGCCGTGATGTCTATGGTGGAGGTTGTCCGAAAGAAAGTGTTTGGGACAGTAATTGGGATCACAGTTCCCACTGCCCTCGTTCTGATTGCTCTCCTCCTTGCTGTAACCAAATACAGAGAGGCAATAGCTGCGATTTTCAGTTTTTCAGCTGCAGAGAGAAGTGAGACTCCTGCAGATAAGCAGCAGAGTGTGGAAGAAGATGTTTAAAAAAAACATGAAAGCAGTGGGAAATCCACCAGCTGAGGTTTGGGAAGGACTACAGGTGCCATGGGTATGTCCCTGAAGCTGGACTGCTAGTCCCAGGAGATTTTCCACAAAGTGATTTACACAGCGTAACTGTGTAAACTGTATGAAAGTTAATTACACAAAACTTGAGTATTTCCTCTTCTTGTATTGCCTGCTATGTCAATAAATTTGGGTTGGACCCAAAAAGTGAAGCTTTTAGAAAACAGAGTAGAAGTTAGAGAGTTGTTTTTAATGAAGCTAAAGATCTGTTTTATTTTCTATAGAACGGTGGGACCTTAGTAAATAATTCACTTGAGCATCTGGAAGAGTATAGACAGATTCATGCGAAGTCCTGCTCACCTGGTTCATAAGAGATGCTCCACTGGGTCGAAGAAGCTTCTGAGTATTGTAGCTGAGCAGGGGTCAGCATGAAGAACAGAAGGGAAATGTGCAAAAAGTTGAAGCATGGCAGTGAGCGCTGCTTTTTTTATGCTACTTCGCAATTTTTCATTCCTTGCAGTTGGCTATCAGTATGGTACTTGGTCTTATCTTTACAGTGAATTAAAAGTCAGAGATTGAAAAATATTCACCTTTGCTTTACTGTTAATTTGTAATGGCAAATACTTAGAGAAGTAAAACATCCTTTGACCACCTTCCCTCAAAGGAGCTGTACCAGCTCCCTAAGTTGTTACATATAATTTGCTGCATTTCTAAAGATATTTCCATAAGGAGAAAGTCTGTACTAAAGATTTACCACATTTAAAGAATCCATTTACAGTCCATACAAACCTGTAAAATAAATAACTGTCTTCACTGCAGTGTCTGTCTCTGACAGATCTGCGCCGGCTCCTCCAGCACTACGGCTAACTTTTTGCTGCCGGCAAGACAGTTCGCAGCAGCCAGCCCGATAGCGGGTCTGGCTGACATTGCTAAAACACGACAAGGCCTTGTTAGGACGCTGCCTGTTCTCCTTCGACGCAGGGATTCATCAGAGCAGGGTGGACGTGGACCCCTCTGCGTCCGGCGTGCTGGCGGGGAGCGTGCTGGCGTAGAACTTCTTCTGGGAGCGCAGGAGAGGAGTCTGAGTGTCAACGTCCCGGCAGGCGTTGCGTTTGAGGGAGAGGAAGACGTGCTGTGTCCAGCCGTACACGATGCAGTTCAGAAGCCCCTGGGAAGCTGCTGTCAGAGCCTGGGAGAGAGCAGAGGGGAGATCAGGGCTCTGTTGTCAGCCAGCACTGCACAGCACTCCGCGGCTCCCTACCAGGCTGGCAAACCCGGCACGTTATGCCAAGCCTCCCACTTCCAGCACAATTTTATCTCTCTGCATCCCCACGTGATATAGGAAACTCATGGTTGTTTTAATAATCTTTGCTAAATGCTGCCTCAGGCACAGCAAGGAGCTGGACAAGTGTCGTGGAGGAATTGCGTTTGGAGGCTTTCACAGAAAGGGAAAAAAACCTAACTGATTTCTGGGGATCCTTTCTAGTCCTATTTTCTACAATTTCCATGATGCTGGGATTTTGGTTACTGAGACCTTTTCAAGCCTGGGAAAAACATAAAAAACCTAACCAAGGGCTTTGCCTACCAAAAGCATAAATCGGACTTAGGCTCACAGAGCAGCGATCTTTGTGGCTAGAAGCACGCTTTGTCCAGCAGAAGCTAGAAGCAGGGAAAACACAGGAGGTTGCAGAGGAAGACGCTTACCTGCAGAATTAGAAAAGCCATGTAGATTTTGCTGTTTGTTGAAACGGTCAGCTTCAGTATTCCAAGGAGGACGGCTGCGAAGAGGGACGGACAAGAGGGTACTGCTTTAACCCCACCTCCTCCCAGTTTGATTGCCAGGCACTACGTCTTAGGGGGAATATTGTGAGAGTTACTCAGCTCTCTGCTAACCTGGGGCCCAGCAGCAGAAGAATGCGATGGGGTAAAAAACCACTCGTTGTTCTACCATCTTAATCATGGCCCATTGCTGATCCCCCAGGAATCCTGTGGAGTTTACGAACCTTTTGTACAAACCTCGGGCTTGACTGAGTATAACCTGAAAAAGAACAAGCGTACATCGTTGTTTGTACTTTGTGCACATGCTCTGATCCAGCTTGTTCATCTGGGACGCCGCATCCCGCTTCGATCTAGCAAACCTTGTCAGGCAACAGCGTGCTCCCCGGGGGAGAGCATCTGCTTCGTACGTGACCTTTTCTGAACTAAAGACTCTGAACTGATTTGGGCTCTCGTTGACCCACGCAGTAGGTGATCTCTGCTGCCACGCTCTGAACCTTCTCTACCTGCTAACTCCTTTTTGGAATGGGCAGACCGAACACAGGACTCCAGATGGATTTATATGGTGGCACAATGACATTTTGTCTCCCCTACTACCCCTTCCAAAAGGGAAGCAGCACCACACAGTTCTTCCCCTGACATCGCCTGGCCTCTGGTACCATCCAAGCAAAGATAGAAAGATGAAAAGGGGAAAATCTTCTCACACTGATCATCTGGGTGCAACGGCTAGTGGGCAAGGACTGTGTTTCTTACCAGAATGGCTACGAAGCTGATCAGAAAGGAAGCAAGGAAGACCCCAATGCCATAGAAATGCATTGCGCGGCAAACGGAGCCGCTCAGGGTTTGCGGCTCGTTGGTGGGCACAACTATTTCCGTGTGCATCAAGAGACATCTGTGGGGAGAAAGGGAACACCCTGAGCTCCTGCCGTGACTCATAAGCAGCGGGGCTGTTTCAGAGATGCGTGGAGCTTACCCGTGCTTCTGGCTGAAGTTCTGGTAGCAATTACTGCTGTTGCCCAGGCAAAACACAGGCACCATGAGAAGGAAAGGGATCAGGCTGAGAGGAGAAAGGGCAACGGGACAGTTATTCGTTATGGCACTGCACTGCTCCTACCCCCAACAAAACACTCCTTGGTTTTTCGCCTGTCACTACAGAGGACTTAAAAATTGGTTTTATCGACACTGCTCTGGAAGAGTATTTCATCAGCTTTACTCACTTCTGCACTTCCATTCATGCAGGCAATACATGGGTAAAGGGAGTACTTTCTGAAAAACTACATATAGTTAATATAGTTATAACTAACTTTGTTGGAGAAAGGCCCTGACATCCCAAACCTCTTACTCCGAGTTTGTTAGGTCACTCTGCTGTTACTGATGAGCTTCACAGGTTTTAGTAAAACTTGCTTCAAGATAAGTACGAAGCAGAGATCAGCACACTACAGTTTACCAAAACCACATCATTCCGCCCGGGAGAATTAAATCTTACCTAGATGAGATCGTTGCTATTCGGCCAATGCAACTCGCATAATCTACAACCTGCAAAATCCAAAGAGCTTAATTAAACGATCGTTTCCGTACAGCCACTGGTTCACAGGACCCAGCTCCCAGGGAGCGCTTCAGGAGCTGAGGGTTCTTCAAACGCTGACTAACCCCCAGACCGAGCACAAATGTTTGTTTCCCCTTTGCACTGAATCAACACCGCCGAGTTCACTCTGTGCTGATGATCTGCAACAGAAACAACCGATGCTTCCACCCGCTTACGGCCTTGTTCTCCTTCACCACCAGAGGATTTGAGAAGGGAACTTGGAACTGGAGAAGGAGCGGACACTTGACGAGCTCTCTGGTGCAACTTACTCCTTTTTTGTACTGCTTATTCACTTAACCTGGCCCTGTTCCTCAGAAAGTTCATGTTCTGGTGAAGAAATGCAGGCAATTTGGAGTGTCCTGGCACCTGCTCACCAGGAAGGGTACTTGGGCAGCTGGTATCCCCACACCAGCTACGACAACACAATGTGGGCACTGCTGTCGTGGTGGGGAATTATGGTAGGTGGTGTGTTTTGAATGGGAGTCCAGCAAGAAGGAAACCAGTCCTACAAGTGGATCCAACCCCTATGGATAAGAGCCCTTGACATACAGACTGATCTGCCCCGCCTGCTGCTCCCGAACTGACAGATGGAATATCTGGGCTACAAAGTTTGGTGCGCACAGCAAATGGCGGGGAAGAAAAAAGGCTATATACGGAACTGGGGCTGATGGGTTCAATGGGAAAAGCTGCACAAGGAATCTGTCGTCTGGCAGCAATACGTCAGGAGCAACACAGCGGTTACAGCCACGGCGGTGCCTCGCTGTTTAGCCAGGTGTGAGGAATGAAACAACTGCAAGGAGGGATTTGGCCAAGCGGTATGTGAAGTGTTTGTTTAGCCTGCAAGGCAGAGAGTATTTTTCTGAGTATTATGTCCTTGTTCCTTGGTTCCCAGCGATTACACCGGTTCCCCAAAGGGCTTTTGTAAAGGCCAGCGATGATGAAGTGAGGACTGGCCGCTGTTCACAGAGCCAACTGCTCCTTTTATCACTAGCTCACTGCCGTCATACCTCCTATCTCAAACTCTTACAACACTTACTGATGCTCTCAAATGCAGTACAACACCTGGGAAGGACAGAAATTGTCAGTTCTCAGTTCCAGGCTGTCCAGGCACCCCCTGCTTTCCTGTCCTCTCTGCCATGCACTGGCAGAAGGCAATGACAGCAACAAACCGGTTACTCAGCTGGTGCAAACCGCTGTTCTTCTAACTACAGAAGAACTTCACCAATACCCAGTCTTGAGCTTTCTCTGCTCCGAGACGTGCACTGCCATTGGCCTTTGTCTGCTTTAGTCTTGCAGGCCTGAGATGCTACAGCAGACCAAGCAGTAACTCTGCTGACCTCAGCGGGCAAGGTACATCAATTCATCCAGCCATGGGGCAGAAGAGCCTTCAAAGACCTCGTGGTGAGATATACTGTTATGTATTCACCTCCTAAACCCCACCACGAGCCCACAGTTAGACCTTGGTACCCAAAAGTTGTTGCACATCAGTCCTGCTCACCTGGGGGGGCATCCGGAAAAAGTTCTGGTTGTATTTCATCTTTAGGTCCATGTACAGATGCCAGGTGTAGTTGACAGTGTATAGAAAAGAGGCCACGTAGAATATCTGAGAAATACAAACAGACAGTATTTCAGCCCTACAATAATAGTTCCTGCAGCACTGTTAGCTCACTGCCGATGAACCCAAAGCCCGTGGAGGGAGGATGTTAAACAGCGTAGTGGGCTGCCAAAGGCGAGGGTCCCTGCACAGCCCCTGTGCTCACACCTGCTGGGTTGCAGCGGGACATCAACTGGGAAGAGCCAGGTAGAGGAGGGGTTCGTGCAGATTGCACAAAGGCAGTCCTACTTTGGCCTCAAACAGGGGACAGGAGAACGTGTGACAGCAGGACAGTCTTAAGAATACAAATCTTTGTGACTTGGCTCAGTTTTTGGCCCAAATCCTGGCAACAAAAGGTTCAAAGGTACTTGGACCCTCTCTATGCTACGTTCATTAGGAAATACAACACAGACGTGGCACTTGGATTCGCTTCTCGCACAATGAGCGCACTACCCACCGAATTCACGGAAACAGAAAACGGTAGAATATTTAAAGAGGAAAGTGCGGGCAGAGAATATCTGCACTAAGCCTAAGTTAACATCCCAAGAGCCCTTTTCTCTCCATGGGAAAATGGAAGAAAGAAAAGATACAGAACGCTATTTCCCACGGAGAGTTTCACAGCCCTTGATCCCAGCTTGAGATGAGACCAAATATCTAAAATTTCCTGTAAAACCCCCCAAATCTTTCTTGCATTTGTTTCTGAATCCATGGTTGCTCCTGGCAGTCAAGTATAAACAGCGCTGCCTGACCATACTCTATATATGCGTGCGCTGCGCCTGTTACAGGAAACACATGCTTCGGTGGCAAAGGCAAAGAGGAAGGGCTGGACAAGTGAATTTTCCTGTGGATTTGCTATCCTTTGCCAAAGGGGCGAGGAGCACAGGTTTGCCACCCTGGTATCGTCTAAGTCTGGAAAAGTAGTCACTAAATAAACTTGGTCTCCTTCGCTGAGGTTGCAAATGCTCTTGGCTGACTCAAGAGGCTGAGTCCGAGGGGCTGCTGTGTTGCAGCAGGAACATTACTGTGACTTTCCAGCTCATTAGATGAGGTTTAATGAGGGTTTGATGCCCTTCTTCAATTACTTCCAGAGAAGGTCATCAAAACAGTCCACAAAGATCGTTCTCTTGCACTTCAGAATGCCTCAGAGAGGCTCGGAAAATGTCAGCACCGCCTTCTTTTTTGGAAGAGGGAACCAAAAGCCACTTGTGAAGTCGCCAGCAGAAAGCGACGGGAGATCTGCTCTCCTGAGCCCCAGCTTCGGGGCTGTGGACAATCCTGCAGCGCTCACCATGAGGAGATAAAGCAGGGGCTGGGAGACACGAGAGTCCCTCATTATAACACTTCTGCGGCTCCCCATTGTGCTCAACAGCGTGAGCAGAGCCTGCCAGGACATTATTAGGCCACTGGAACTGAACTGGAAGAATGTGGGGGAATTGTGCAATTATAACCACAATCTGTCTTCTGGACTTTATTATTGTAATGCAAAGGCAAGGCAGGGAGGAGGGGAGAATAAAGTCAAGAGACAGCAGAAGGGAGCAGTATTTACATTTAATATCAATCAAGAGTCTGGTGCTAAAACAGGGAAAGTCCAAGAAAAAAAGCAATCTCCTCCTTTACGACACGGTACGGATGTCAGGGGAGTTCAATCCACCGCAACGTCAGCCCTTGGTGATAAAGTGATGGTAAACAGGCTGAATAAGGCAAAATATTGTCCTGCTCCTAAGGCAATCCCTTGAGACAACCACATCACATGGACTGTGGCGTGAGTCTCTCCGAGGGCTGCCATCTGCAAACACCACTGCCGAGCGGTCCTGAGCCTGTCCTCACCCTCGTCGTTCAGTGCGTTTTACACCTTCTAGGTGTTGCTGGGCAAAGAAGCTGCGTGTGTTTACGAGACACCCAGGAACTCAACTCTTGAGCGACTTCTCCACTCAGCATGGGCCGAATGGGGCCCGGAGACATTTACTCATTTCCCTCGGTTACAGATCACTTACGCTCTGCAGAAGCTGCTGGTTAAACCTGTTACTGGCTCCTACTTACGTACAAGGTGTTCCCACCACACAAGGGCATTGCTGGGGTGTTGAGTAAGGAGGTGTCCTGCACCATGTCACGTGTACCATACGGGCACGGTTGCTATGGCAAGTGCTCCATTTGTTTTAATTTCTTTCAGAGCAAACAGCAGCGACAGCTCTTGCCAGAGGCGAGTCGGTTCTGCCACCCTGGCAGTTCTCCTGCTGGGGACCGTCTGCCGGTGGCAGGCAGGAGAGAAGCCCGGTGACCCTGTGGCTGAGGTTGGGATGTGGCAGGCACCCTGTGCCCCCCACCACAGCACCCTGACTGTCCCCAGTAAGTCCCGTAAAGGCTTGCCCAAGGCCAGCTCTGCCGACCCAAGCTGCCTTCCCCAGTGTAAAAGTAAAGCTCCCACCTCGCCTCCATCCCTTGCTGGTGTCATTAAGAAGCATGGCCACAGGCTGCAAAAGCAAGAGCAGAAAAGAGCCAGAAACGCATGCTCTTAGTGTCTCCGCCGAGAAATGATGGCATATTGTCTATATCCAGCCTACTTCTCCTCTAGCAGTACAGCCTGTCTTCTCCTGGCCAAAGGCAAAGCTGCAAGGGGAACAGCTCAGAAACACCCTCAATCCCACAGGCTCTTTCCACTTTTCAGCTCTGAAAAGCCTCTCCCAAGCTCTTCTCATTTTCCCCTGTACCATCATCTAAAAAACATCCTCTTTGATACTGTTCTGCATCGTTCCCAAGTGGCCAAGTTACCCACACCCCACTGTTCCCTCTCTCGACGTGAACATATTGCGGTGCTTCCACAGCGGCACAGCGGAGCCAGAGAAACCAGAGATAAGCCAGGAGTGGAACAGCTGCTCTTGCCATCATGAGTAATACGGTTTTACCCACAAGAACAGCTGTTGAAATAATCCTGGGCTGCAGGCACCCATCCCCAGACACACAACTGCGTGAACACTTCCATATCACACGGGCAGCTACGTCCCTGCCCTCCCCGCGGTACACGGAGAGCCTCTCCAGCTTCAGATGCTGCTGCTCAGCAAGGACGTTTTAGCTCCCATCTGTGGGTACCACCACGCTCGCGGGGAGCTGCCCAAGCCCACACAACACACAGCAAGGCTCCCGACAGCCACTTGCTCTTCCCAGCCACGTTTTTGTGGGTCCTTTAAAAGGAAGCTGTTAAGCCCAGAGATCACGGTTTGGGAACCACAGCTCTAGCCCAAGCTTGGCCATATCCCACAGAGTTTTTTGAGAGCAGTGATTTGCAAAGCCTAATGCTGAAATGGGAACTCAGTGAGACAAAAGCAAACTGTCAGGAAAATGGTATTTCGCTCACCCTGCTCCAATTAGTCTCCAGCACACGGAATCAGCTGGAAAGTAGCCGAATCGCTGGGGCACGGGGCTGAGCTCGTGCTGACGGAGCGGCCCCTGAGCATCCTTGGGATTGTTTGAGAGAGGATAGGGCTAGGTCAGCAAGAGCAGGGCTGTTTATATGAGTAATGCTGTAAGTCCGAGCTCAAGCGAATCGCAGGATGTGTCTGTTCCTGCCCAGGATGGAGGAAGCATGAAGAGGAACAGAAAAGCTACCGTGTGAGAGGCACAGAGATCATCGTGGGCACGGGTCCAACAGGAAATAGATTAAGACCCATCTACTCACTTTACCCAAGCAACCCAAATGCGGTAACCACAAAATCCCATGCTCTCTTTGCCTTCCTCATTGCCTCTCACAAACCAGATGTACCTAAACCCAAGCATCATTATCTCTGTTTTACACACAAGGCGAAGAGATCTGATAAGTCAAGTTAACACAGGGAGTCTCGGCCAAAGCCTGCACAGAAACCACCCCCCCCCCGGGCCATGCTCTGACTACCAGCAAGGCTAATTAAGGCAACAGGTGCAAAGTAACAGCACGAATGGTGATGCCAAGGCTACTCACTTGTCCTGTCGCTTGCAGGTTATAGCAGATGAGATCCTGCTCGGAGGTTGGTGTGCTGTAGAGAAGCGTCCCAGCAAGCCAGCACATGCCCAGCAATAGGTCGGAGAGGCTCAGGTAGAAAAGTGGACGAACCTGGGAAAAGTGAAATTGGTCAGCAGGTCCCAATGATGGTCACAAGGCTCTCACAACTACCTACAGCAGCAGCTTTACCCCCGTGCCTCGATACGCTTTCGTCCCCCGGCTCTTCTGGTAGGGCAGCTCTCCTGGCACACAAACCCCATGCCGATTCTGGCTCTCCGGAGCTGTTTCACTGCAGATATCCCACTCTAACCACCCTTTCTGCCACTAGCAATGCCCCAGGATCCAAAAGCAGCATCAATTCTTACAGAAAGTATCTCAAAAGTCCAGAACGTTACAATTTCGCAGAATGGGACAGGTTGGCAGGGAGAAGCGATGTTATTTGTTAAATCAACTGATAGAGAAATCAAACTTTTGGTAAACACAAACCCTTCTTCAGGTCTGAAATAACTCAGAACAGATATTTTTTCCTACGTGTTTCATGTCATTTCAGTTGGTGACTAAGGCTGAATCTATTTTACATGCCAGATTCATTTTCACTATGAGAGCTGCTAGTCTCACTGCATCTTGCTGGAACAGTCGCATCTCCTCTAATGGCAGTTTCCAGTCCATTTCAGGTTTGCATGCACTGGCCAAAAGGACGGTAAACACTGTAGGAAAACATTTGTGCAACATTCTGGCCAACATTTGCATTGTTAGTGGGAGAGCAGACACTCTGGAAAAGCAACCTAATTACCCAGATTCTTAATTGTAGTCTTTGGTACCTAATTTTCAGCATCCTGGAGAGAAAATGGTGGCATTTTTTCTTCCCTACGGAAATTATAACGCTAAACACAGCATGGAAACATTTCAGGAGGCCTTGATTTTAAGATTTTTTTTTCATGGAACTGAGCTTTTGGTGAGATTTGCCTCAATATTGTCCTTGAAGTAACTGTTTGCCACCCATCGCATTGTGTGGTACTTGTCTTGTTCCCATGAGCAACGAGAAAGAGCTTAGTAAGATCGATAACTGGTAAGGTAGCAGCCCTGAAATAAGCAAAGAAACAACTTTTGCAATCAAACAGGTGACCCCTTTCTCTAGCAAGAAGTGTCTTTGGAGCGAGGCGCCGCCGTTTGATTGAGGAGCTATTTTGGCACAGGCTTAAATAAAGGAGTAGGTGACATAGTGGTAAGTGAAAGGCAGCGTGGTTCCTACTTGCAAAAGGAAAAAGAAAAAAACCAAATGGTATTTATAAACTAGAGGAAGGGAATGTAAAGAGGTAATGATTCAGATGAGCTGCGAGGCTGGAGCATACGTGTTGATTTAGCTCTCTCTGGCCACTGCCCAAGGCCATCTGCCTGCGCAGAACCTGTTGACGTGACAGAGGAAATTCTTTGTTCATTGCTTGCCATCATCTCTTCTGAACAACTTAGCTCAGGCTTGAAGAGTTTTATTGACCCGCAGAGACAGAAAACAAGCTTCAAGAATGCAATATTTGATTTCCTAGGCTGGGGGCAGGAGGGGAAGTGTTTATAACATTGTTCTCCTCCCAGCCTCCAGAGCTGTTTATTTTTAAACATTTTACTCTGGAGCCTCATGACTCAGGGAATAAGCTGTTTGTGGCAAGCTTTGATACCGATCTCTTCCAGCCCTTTTGTTTACAAATTTCCACTTAAGACCAGAAACATGGGGACAAGGCGATGGGGAAGTTACTGAAGATTTTGCTGCTTTTGAAACACGAGCAACAGACCTCCCTTGGCAGCAGAACAAGAGCCTGGAAGCCTGATACAGATGAATCACTCCAGCTGGTATCCATCGCTCCTATCCGGATTTGCAGAAATAATCTGAGCAGGAACATCTGGACTCCCTCAAGCAGAAAGGGTCCATCCGTGACCGGGAGCCACGCGTGGCTCTCAAGCAGCTAGAACGCAGCACCCAAGCCACAGCCACATCATATGACTAATAGCACAAGGGCTCCTGAGTAATGCAGGCTTCTAGCCATCGAAGGAAACGGGCTGAGGCTGCCGAGTCACACCAGGACACCTGCCAAACCCAGCGCTGTACCATACCAGGGGGGAGGACACCAGGAGAGAATCATGTCTGGAGCTCTCCAGGTGCAGGAGATGTGGTAGAGGGAGCCTCTGATAACGCACCTTGTGCAGCACAAGCTCAGGTGGGTTTTCCATCCCAGCACTAAGGTGAAGTCCCAGCCTGCCTTCCTCCCCGGGAACGCACCGAGATCTCTGCAGCTCATTCTCCATTGCTGGGCAGAGCGTTTCCAGGAGGCTGCCTGCCTGGGAGCAAGACTGCTCCACATGCTCTAAGCAGTGCAAATTTGCCCTGCAAACCTGGACACACGTTCTCCTCCCCACCCTGCTTCATCCAGCGATGTGTCAGTTGTTAGCTTGAGTGCATGCCTGCCTTCTCTGGGGATAACTCACTGCATTCCCTGGAAGTCCTGTTCTCTGGGCTGCAGATCAAACCCACGACGTACAAAGAACACTGAAGACAAGGGAACTACAAATACAGCTTTGTTACAACATAGCTGCCAACTCTACTGTCCTACTGCTCTTAGTAAGTAACCCGCTATCTGCGTGGTCCACAGACCGGGCTGCCAGACATCTGCAAATCCTGACAACAAATCCCAGCTTCACACCGATCGGCTCCGGGCACTGCCTCTGGTAAATCCTGGATAAACGGAGGGACCACGTGTGGACAGCAAAAGCCTGGCAGGCTTGGGATGGAGGTCTAGGGTTACTGGGCACGTGCCAGCCACCTGCTCAGCACATCTGAGGGGTTCCCTGCACGTGTGATGCACTCGGGATGTACCAGACGCTGCATGCGTGTCAGATCTGCAGTGCACGTGTGGACAGCCCCACTCCGAGGGAAGTCTGCACCCGAGCCGCGCTGCTTCAGCATTAGAAATGTTTGTGGCTCCTGTGGACGGTCAGGGTGACTCTTTCAAAGCCCTACTGCGGAGTCCGGCACAACAAACTGCTTTTCAGCCTGGCCTCTTTTGGTCTGAACTTTGCAGCATCTTTGAGTTGTATCAGTTTTAGCAGCGCACCTGCCTGGAAAAACGACTCAGAGATACCCAAAGACCGACACCTGTGAAAACATTTCCTACAGGGGCATCTCCACTTTGCCCTTCAGCAGCTTTGTACACAGCTCCTCAGCCAGTCCGGCACAACAAACTGCTTTTCAGCCTGGCCTCTTTTGGTCTGAACTTTGCAGCATCTTTGAGTTGTATCAGTTTTAGCAGCGCACCTGCCTGGAAAAACGACTCAGAGATACCCAAAGACCGACACCTGTGAAAACATTTCCTACAGGGGCATCTCCACTTTGCCCTTCAGCAGCTTTGTACACAGCTCCTCAGCCCTCCAGGCATTTCCCCCCACCCCA